TGTGCTGAGTGGGGACATTCAGGGTGATCCTCGTACGTGCACGCATGAGACAGTGAGGGAGAGAGTGAGGCTGGTGGTAGAGACAGTGTTCGGCGTCCATAGCCACAAGTTGTGCAGTTGTTAAGATTGAGTTTAAGACAAGTTCATTGTTGTTTTTGAGTTGAAAGAGTTCAGTTTTGCCATCGGTTCTCAAGTGTGCATGTTGTGAGCAAGTCCAGAGTTGAGTCTGATTGCACTGGTATCAGAGCTGGTACCCGTTGTCCACGCCGGCAGAGCTACAGCACACAAGGAAGAAGTAAGAAGCCGCCATAGCCATAGCTTGACAGAGAGAGAGAGAGATAGTAAGAGAGAGAGAGAGAGGAAGAGAGAGGAAGGGGGACGGTAGCCATAGCTGCTGAGTTCGGGGAAGAAGACCAACATCAAAAAGGGAGAAAGAAGAGACGCAGAGGGAAGAAAGGAGGAAGACAGTGACGAAGAGGGAGACAAGGTCAGCCATAGCTGAGGTGAAGGAGAAGGAGGTCCACCATAGCCGGGAGGTCAGAAGGTTGACCGAGGTTGACCACGGGTGTTGACCAGGCATTGACCAGCGTTGACCGGGCTGGCCAGGGCGTTGACTAAGCGTTGACCGGAGCTGCCTAGCGCATTGACCAGGAGCGTTGACCGGCGAAGTTGACCAAGTCCGTTGACCGGAGCGTTGACCCAGCTGGAGCGAGAAGACAAACGGTACTATCTTTCCAAGCCTGGCCTATCCGTTTCCCCGTGAGTGTGTACCTTCACCCCGGTACGTGCTGGCATAGAGTCTGTCAAGGTCAGTCAGTCCTATCTCCCTGTCACTACTGTCTAGGTTGTTAGGACTTTGTGTGTGCGGTCATAGAACCATGAGTTCAGTTCGGGTAGTGAACCAAATCCCCGAAGTAGAAGTAACCTATTCGGTCTAAGTGTTGAGGTGTGGAATTGTTGTTCATTGTGCGCTGTCAACATGGTGACCCTTAGATCCGGAACCGTTACCACCCCCTACAGCAAAGAGCAGGAGGAGAGAGCTGCCGCCCTTCTGCGTGAGAAGAAAGAGAAGATGGAGAAGAGGGAACTAATCAGACAGGCTAAGCTGTTGGCGCTGCTGGAGGAGCAGGAAGCAAAGAAGAGGCAGATGGAGGAGGAGATGGAAAGATGGAAGAAGGATCAGGAGGAGAAGATGGCAGCTATTCAGGCGGAAGAACAAGAAGAAAAAGAAGAAGTGGAGAAAGAAGAAGAAAGACCGCTAGAGAGGAGAAGAGGAGGGGGAAGCACAAGTAAAGACGTGGAGATTGCGGAAAGAGCACAGGAATGGGCAGCGCATTTGGAGTTAGGGGAAGACCAGGAGGCTGAGATGGCTGTATCCGAGGAAGAAAGAGAAGCAGTCAGGAGGCAAATTGAAGCAGAGAGGGATCCAGTAAAGAGAGGGGCGAAGGAGGAGGAACAGCGGATGGCGTGGAGATACCGGTTATCCCAAGAAAGGGTCAGGCGATTGGAAGCGGCAGAGAGGGCGGACAAGGAACTAAGAGCGGCGGAAGTTAGGATGGGGAAGATCCGAGCGGAGACTGAGCTAGCAACCAAGCTAGATACGCTGATCCAAAGTGTAGAGGCTTTATTAGTGGCACAGCTGGAACAAATGCAGTACGAACGCAGTCAAGACATCAATATAGACGCGATACGCGCGGGGTTCAAGGACTTTGCGTGCGACATGATGAAACACCTGCTGACCGAAGTGCACATTGCAATTAATAAGACCCGAGAGTTTTGTACTGGCGCCATTGAAGGCGCCAAGCTAGCGGCCCCTAAGGAAGAGGAGTCGGCCCCACCACGTCGCGAGAAAGTCAAGGTCCGATTTCCCGAACCCTTTAGTGGAAAGAAGGGTGAAGATTTTGATAACTGGGAGGCCAACGTGCACTCCTATCTCTATCTGCAGGGAGTCACGCCTGAAGACCACACTTTGGTGGCCTTCCAGGCCCTTAGAGACGAAGCGACTAGCTTTGCTAGGTCGCTAGCCCGCGCTGCCAACTGCGATAACGATATGGTTACATACTCCAGATTGACACCCCTCTTCGACTCCCTGAAAGCCCTCAAGGAGCGATTTTCTGATGTCACGCGGGGCCTTAAGGCCTCAGACAAACTCCAAATGATCCACACTCGCCAGTGGAAGAGTGTGCATGCGTTAAAGTCCGCTATGGACGAACTGATTGCGGTCCCTGGGCATGGAGTCACTGATGTGCAACTCCTTAACCTCTTCTACCGAGCCCTGCCTGAAAATATTCAAGGACATTTCTTCGAGAAGAAGAATCAGCAGGGCATGACTTACGATACACTTAGTCGGGAGGCAGTTGCATTTGCCGCCCAAGCGTCGCCAGTTACCACGTTCTGGCACAAGGATCTGTCTAAGGGAAAAACGTGGAAGGGACGCACCATCTCAGGCCAAATCAAGGCCAAAGATAGTCTGATCTTAACGATGGAGGAAGGTGGTGCAGAGGAGGTTCCCTACTCTGACATCGAGTGGGGACTAGAGGAGGAGGATAACAACGCAGGCAAGGGGAGAACCTAGGCTGCTATCGCGGCTGGAGGGAGGCCGCAAGGAGGACAACGGTCCGGCCCAAATGGTCGGGCCCAGGGTGGCCGAGGGCAGGGCGGCGAGGGGGTTGGCGGTTATGGCAGCCGCCAAGCGGGAGGAAGGGGAGGTCCCCCGTCTAACCGTCCGAGTTCTAGTCGGTCACCCCCCAGACAGGGAAGGTGGCATCCAGGCCGGCCTGAAGGCCGACCTTGGTTAGACCTGGGTATAGATAAAAAGGTATGGCAAGAACGCATTAATAGTTCTCAATGTGTATTCTGCGGGACCCGGGCCACATTATCAAATTTTGTCCTAAGTATAGGGACCGTGCTGCAGCTGGGGCAGCAAAAGACAGCCGCCGGTAGGGGTCGCAACTGCCCCTACCTCAAGAGTATGTGGATCTGAGCGTGCCAGCGAAGTAGAGTCTCCCACTCCACATATTCCCATGGCAGAGGTTGCAGGCCAGCGTCTAGTAAGCTGTCCAGAGATCGCTTGTGTTAGGGTCTCTCTAGGCGCTTCCCTCACAGGCTTAGCCGATGAACTGAGAGAGAGGAGGCAAGCCTGGGCCAAGACGAATAAGGATAGTAAAGGACAACTGATCCTCACAGATGTAGAGATATTTAGAGCTAGAGTAGGAGCCCTCATAGACAGCGGGGCGACTAGGAGCTATATTAGTCGTAAAGCGTTGAGGAAGTTGAAGCTGAACCTAAAGGTCCAGCGACTAGAAGAGCCTGTAGTCAGCATCCTCGCAGACAATAGCAGGATGCGCGTCGAAGAGTATGTTGAGGGGGTCCACGCCTACTTCCGCCTGGAGAAAGATGGCAAGGTAGAGAAGGTATTGCACTCCCTGACCCTCCTTGTAGAAGAGAGTCTCCCGTTTGACATAGTTTTAGGCACAGATTGGGGAGAGGCAGCAGGAGTAACACTTCACCTCAGAGAGCATGAGTGTAGGATCCCTAGTGCGTCAGGCGAAGTCAAGAAAGTCCGCCTGTTCCATGAGTCCGGGGTAGATAATCCCCTTGCCCATTGCTGCCTCAGCGCTCCTGCATTCGCCAGGCTTGTGCGAAAGGAGCAGCTTGAAGAACAAGTGTTCGTAGCCTATGTTAGGCCAGTATCCGATCATCCTAAGGAGGAAGAAAAAATCCATCCTGCTATTGCCAGTCTGCTGGAAGAATATGAGGATCTATGTGAACCACCTTCAGGGGTAGTGCCCAGATCGATCCATCACCGAATAGAAATAGAACCTGGCAGTAGAACGCCAAAGGGGGCAGTCTAAGGGATGTCTCCCAAAGAGTTAGAGGAGCTACGCAGACAGTTAGATGAGCTCCTAGAAAAGGATGGATCCGGCCTAGTTCATCGCCATTCGGCGCACCTGTTCTATTTGTCCTAAAGAAGGAGGGAGAGTTGCGCATGTGTATTGACTACAGGGGACTTAACGCCATCACGATTAAGAATGCAGAGCCATTACCGCATATCGATGATTTGCTAGATCGAGTTCAGGGATGCAGATATTTCTCAAAGATAGATCTAAAATCAGGATACCATCAGATAGAGGTGCACCCTGACGATCAGTATAAGACGACGTTCAGGACAAGGTATGGGCATTACGAGTTCATAGTGATGCCATTTGGACTTACTAATGCACCCGCAACATTTCAGCGTTGTATGAACAACTTGTTTAGACCCTGGCTAGATAGGTTCGTCGTAGTTTATCTAGACGATATCCTAGTGTTCAGCAAGACCCTCGAGGAACACGAGGGCCATCTACGACAGATTCTAAGTAAGCTCAGAGAGTCTAACTTTAAAATTAACCCGAAGAAGTGTGAATGGGCCAAGACACAGGTTTTTTACCTAGGCCATGTACTAGGCGGCGATGGCATTCAGCCTGAGGACAGCAAGATAGCATCCATCAGAGATTGGCCAACTCCTAAGACACTAACAGAGTTGCGTTCTTTCTTAGGACTGGCTAACTACTACAGGACGTTTGTGAGGAACTTCTCTACGATCGCTGCTCCCCTTCGTAGACTATTGAAGAAAGAAGCTATCTGGAAGTGGGATCAGGATTGTACGCTAGCCTTCAAGAAGTTAAAGAAGGCTTTGATAGAGTACCCTGTCCTCAAAGTTGCCGATCCATCATTGCCATTTGTTGTTACTACAGACGCGAGTCGGTATGGCATAGGTGCCGTTCTACAGCAAGATGACGGCAACGGATATAGGCCCGTAGAGTTCATGTCAGCCAGGTTGCCTTCAGAGAAAGTCGCAGCATCGACATACGAGAGGGAACTCTACGCTCTCAGGCAGGCTCTAGAGCACTTGAAACACTACCTGCTTGGGAGACACTTCAAGGTTTATTCAGACCACGAGACTCTTAGGTGGCTAAAGACACAGGCCAAGATGACGCCCAAGTTGACCAGATGGGCTGTTGAGATAGACCAATATGACTTTGAGTTAAAACCCGTTAAAGGCAAGTACAACGTGGTAGCTGATGCGCTAAGCAGGAGATCTGATTATTTCGGCGCAATAGTACACTATCTAGACATAGGGGCCAATCCGCAGAAGAAAGTAAGAGATGCCTATGCACAGGACCCAATCTACAGTAAGCTGCTGAAAAGAGTAAAGGAAGCCCCAGATAGTGAGCCACATTACCGGACAACGAATGGGCTACTGTTTGAAAAGACTAATGTCGCTGACAGACTATGCGTCCCCAATAGTGAAGAGATCCGTAGTCTGATCTTAGGGGAATGCCACGATACAGAAGGGCACTTTGGATGGCAGAAGACTTTAGCTAACCTGATGATGTCCTATACGTGGCCAGGCATGAAAGCAGACTGCATAGAATATGTGCGCAGTTGCAAAGTGTGTCAGCGTAATAAAGCTACGACTAGAGCCCCTCTAGATCTTCTTAGACCCTTGCCTATTCCCTCAGGACCCGGAGATTCAGTGTCCATTGACTTCATGGATACTGGGGTCAGAAGTAGACATGGAAAAACTCAAGTCATGGTCATAGTAGACAAATTTAGTAAGTATGCAGTATTTGTTCCCTTGCCTTCAGAGGCCCGTACAAAGTTAGTTATAAGGAAGTTTTTTGATTTCTGGGTAAGCGAGCATGGTATGCCATTGTCCATAGTAAGTGATAGGGACACCCGGTTTACCAGCCAGAACTGGCAAGATCTTATGAAAGCATACGGGTCTAAGTTGTTGATGTCGTCAGGACGACACCCCGAGACTAATGGTCAGACAGAACAGATGAATAAGATTTTGCAACAGCTACTCAGAATATACATTAGACCAGATCAGCTAGACTGGGACGAGTTGCTTCCCAAAGTAGCAAGTGCCTACAACAACAGCGTTCACTTAGCTACTTGTCGGACTCCTAATGAACTACATAAGTCTTTTAAACCGAGGCGACCACTAGAAGGACTAAACCGGGACCAGATCCAGAGACTTCCACTCGGTACTCGAGAGTTCGCGCTCCATTATGAGCAAGAGGTTGCTAAGGTCACAGACAACCTGAGGAAGGCCCAACACCGCATGATAGAGCAGGCTAACAAGCACCGCTGACCTTCACAGTTTTAGGTAGGTGACCTAGTCTGGGTCAAGTCAAAGGAGTTCGCACCGGAGGAAAACATCCCGCAGAAGCTCTCACCTGCATTTAGAGGACCGTGGCCTGTCCTAGAAGTCAAAGGAGGAGAGGACGGCCCGTCGTATACGATAGAGATCCCAGCACACCTCCACACGTACCCAGTCTTCCACACCTCTAAGTTGTTACCTTGCACCACGTCTGACAGGTTCCCTTCCAGAAGGTCGATGATTCCTCCAGACATGGATGGCGCGTATGATATAGAGGGCATTGTGGAAGAGGACGTGTTTAGGACAGGAGGCCGAGGTCCTCCCCAGAAACAGTACAAAGTTAGGTTCGCATACCAGGAACCCGAGGACGACCGGTGGTTTACAAGAACAGAGCTTTTAGAAACCGCTCCCGACATAGTACACGCCTACGAGAGGGAAAGAAAAGGTCCTGCCTTGAGTTAGAACTTAGAGGGTTCTCGGAGGACCTCAAATTTAGGACGGCGGGAGTGAAACGGTTTCACCCAGTTGACCTGGTACTGCAGTCACAGAGATTCGATCCCTAGACCTGTGCCCTAAGCCTGTACATTGACCCTGTGTGCTGAGTGAGATTCGATCCCTAGACCTACCCTGTACCTGTACATAGACCGCGTGACCTGAGTAGCCCCGAACCTGTCCTACGGCTTAGGTTAGTCTGTAGTTTGGCCAGTAGAACTTCATCCCTAGGTCTGTAGATTAGCAACTAGGTCTGTTACCAATAGGCCTAGAGAGTCTGTTCTAGAAGTCTCTACTGAGTCTGTCGAAAGTCTGTAGAGTCTGTAGGTTCTAGAAGTCCGT